GAGTCCGGTCTATTAAAATTAATAGACTAAGCTGGCTAGGACTCCTTGAAAGAATCCCCAAAGATAGATATTCTATCAACAAGCAGTAGGAACCAGGAAGAGAGGCAGGCCAAGATCTTGATTCAAAACTCAAGTCGAAGATGACTTGAGGAATCTAGGGGTCAGAAATTGGAAAGCCAGGGCGAAGGATAAGGGAGAATGGAGACTAATTCTTGAACAGGCCGAGACCCACCTAGGGTTGTACAGCCAAAGATGATGATGAAGTAAAAATTCAGTCAGCAATACATTTTGTTTGAGCATTGCGATAAGCCAAACGAAATTCGTTTAAATGTACACGTGCAGTTATGCCACCACATTTTTTTATGTAAATAATTTTTGTTTTTATTCAGGGTTCTGGATTAAATTTCCATTAAATAAATGATACCGTACCTGTAAAGTTCTATTTTTAGAATCACAAGCCGAAAATAAAAACGTACAGCACAATAATTATTACCGTCAATATCTGCGTGATTTAAATTCGAACATTGATTGTGTGACTTAGTCGTTTGATTAATTAAATTTTGAAAAATGAGGCCTTCCACATCTGGAACATCAAAAAGAAAACGTGTAGTTTTGTCTATTGAAAAAAAAAATGGAAATTATGGCAGAACTAAAGAATTGTGTTTCTGCTGTCGCATTGAGCAAAAAGTATGGTGTTACGAGAACAATAATCAATGATTTAAATAAAAATGCTGAAAGAATTGAAAAGAATGTTTCGCAAATGGAATCTTTAGATGGCCAGGTGAAACATAGTAAGACAATGAAAAAAACCACAAATGAATTACTCAACACGGCTCTGTATTTGTGGTTCGTTCAAAAAAGAAGCGAAGGTGTTCCTTTGTCTGGACCAATTGTTGCCGAAAAAACTTATAAATCTATTAAAAAATATACTTTGACTTAGTTAAGAATACGTAAAATTCTTCGACTTAGATTGTACAATATTCATATGCCTTTTTTTTAAAAATAATAATAAAGATCAATTTATAATGGTTATAAATAACATGTCGATTATAATTAATCTTTACTTTTAAAGCTGGTAGCTTTTCCTATAATTTGAGCTATTATAAAGTTATTTTACTCAAAATACAGCCGAGTTACAAGTGAATATCGACTAAATGCATTAATTTTGCAATATCTTCGGTTCTAATTTTTGAATCAAGGTTTACCAAACATTATTTTGTAGGTTTTTATTAAGGGAACAAATTACAATGTGTAAAAATGATTTATATTTGTTAGTTTAAGAATTACAACCATTTAAATAATTAAATTGTTTATAACAAAATTCCCGTCACTTCCGACGCAAAAGCAAATTTGTCATTCAAATCCATCGTGTCGAAATACATAAGAATACACTGTGAAAATGATACAGCACTGGCCCCTGGACTATACCGGGTGATTGATTAGTGTGAGGATGAGGAAGCTCAGTAGATCTGTTAAGCCAAGACCAAAATTTTGTTTTTTTTTTAATGGAACATCGTGTATTTTATTTTAAATTTGAGAAATCTGATTTACTTCCACATCACAACGATGTAAAGTTTTATTATGTTATACCGTGTATTTAAAAAGTTATAACCAATATTAGCTGAAAATCGTATCAAGTTTAATTCCATGTATAATTAAAAAGGAGTATAGGAACATTTCTTCTTCATGTACCATGTCCTTTCAGAACGTTGGTTACCATCATATCTATCAATTTTATTCACTGCCGCCCTAAATAGCATGCTTGTATCAACACCATACCAATCTCGCAAGTTTTTATGATCTCAGTAGTCTTGCTGAGACGTTCTAGTATTGTGGAGTTTCGAATCTTCTCCACCCAGGAAACTTTTAAAATTCTTCTATAGCAACATATAGGAACATTGATCTATTGCAACCATAGTTGCAAGGGTAAGTCAAAATGCAAGTACATACATTATTTTCTTGGTTTATTAAATAGAACATCCTGTATTTGATATCACTATCGAAAAGTACTAATACCGTACTTCAAATTTTATGAACTCCCTATACCTAGTTTCTAGATATTTTTAATTTTCCATCAAAGTATTAATTTGGTAGATATTTTAACGTTTACCAATAATTATTGTGAGTTGGCCATGGTTGATTTGTCAGAAACTGACAGTTTGACATTGTTTATTAATTCAGTAACGAAATAACGACACAGAAAAAAAAATAATTTATTTCAAATACAATTAAAAAAAAAACACATAGAAAAATAAAAAACAATTTTAATTCATCTTACTTAAGTAAGGTGTTCAAAATTACCTCCCAAAGCAGCTATGCATACTTGAAAGCGGTCATTGAATGAGTTGCTTATATTACAAAGAATTCGTAAAGAAATATTTTGAAATGCAATTCGGATTCTATTTTCCATATCATCCCTTGTTGTTGGAGGTATTTTATATACTTCGTTCTTAACGTAACCCAAAAAAAATGAGTCCATTTTATTGAATTCTGGTGACCTTGGGGGCCACCTTACCGGTCCATCCCTTCTGATTCATCTTTCACCGAACTGATCATTAAGTTCACCACGCACTAATTCGTTGTGGTGCGCAGGAGCTACGTCATGTAGAAACCATATTTGTTCACCTATATTAAGTGGAACCTCTTCTTATAATATCGGTAACTGATTTACGATAAAATCTAAATAAATCTCACCATTTCAGTTATCTTCAAAAAATATGGTCCTACTACATGGTTACCGACGATACCTCCCCACACATTTAGAGACCATCTTGTTTGACTATGTGTTACTATGTGGTATGGATTACTTGTTGAATAGTAGGGAAAGTTATGTCTATTAACAGAACCGTTTCGATGGAATGTAGCTTCATCACCAAATAGGACATAATCAAAAAAATCTCTGCTCATGAATTTTTTGTAAGGCCCATTCACAAAATACTATTCGTTTCTAAAAATCATCATTATTTAATTCTTGATGCTTTTGAATATGATAAGGGTACATCTTGTTTTTAGATAGAATGTTTTGAACAGAGTAGTAACTAAGTTCTTGTTCATTGGAAATACTCCTTATACTTGTGTGTGGGTTTTCTGTAACTGCCATCAACACACTCATTTGGTTTTCCTCTGTCACACTAGTTTTTGTTCGTTCATGTTTTTCATAATTCACTGAGCCAGTGCGGTTAAATCGATCTTTCAATTTTTCAAATGTATCTTGTCTAGGTTGCAGCCTATCTGGAAACCGTTCTTGATAAATTATAGCTGATAGTAATGAATTTTTATTGCATTCCACCAATATCCAGATCATATCTACCATTTTATCAGTAGTAAAATTCATTATTGCTAATTTAAATTGAATTAATTACTGAATTACCTAATAATAATTGTTGCTAATTTACGGTGTACCCCAATACTGAATTAATAAACAATAATGTCAAACTGTCAGTTTCTGACAAATCAATCATGACCAACTCACAATAATTATTGGTCAACGTTAAAACATCTACCAAATTAATACTTGTATGCAAAAATAAAAAATATCTAGAAAACTGATAACTTTAGGCAGTACTTCATACAATTTGAAGTACGATATTAGTACTTTTCGATAGCGATATAAAATACAGGGTGTTCTATTTAAAATTACCAAGAAAATAATGTACTTGGTACTAATGTAATTTGATTTAACGAATATTATGAAAAAGAATATGTTTTATAATTTTAACAATTATTAAAAAACTATGGTTGCAATAAATCAATGTTCCTATACTCATTTATAATTATACAGGGAGTTAAACTTGATACGATTTTCAGGTAATATTGGTTATACCTTTTTAAATACCCGGTATAACATAATTAAACTTTACATTGTTGCGATATGGAAGTGAAGCAAATTTCAAATTTAAAATAAAATACAGGGTGTTCCATTAAAAAAAAGACATAAGTTTGGTCTGCCACCATCTAATGGAATAACCTGTAAGATTATAACTAAATTTAAAATGTGGAGTTTAAAGCTGCCTACAATTTTTGTCAATAACTTTTTTTTGTAATTTTTACTATAACAGATCTACTGAGCTTCCTAACACTAATCAATCACCCTGCATAGTATTTTATGGCTTCGACTTTAAAATATTTTTTTAAATCATAACCCCCTTTTATGCTATCCGTCAACTTTGTTGATCTACTCAGCAGATAGTTGACTTAACCCGATTTGCCGTAAACGGCTTGTAAAAAAAGAATAAATTGAGAGACTGGATTGAAACTTGACATATCTTCATATGAAGAGTGTACTAAGATAACAAAAAAAATTTAGTGTCTAGTTAGTAACGCCCTCCCTTAACGAACCGCAAACATATTGAACATATTGCATTCCTGAATGATATTTCACACAAAAAAAATCGAGTTCCGGAAACGAAGACATAATCAGGTGAATAAGTAAGACAAGTGAACAAACTTATGAGAATCATTCACAGAAACTCGATAAGAAAAGTTTTTCAATTTCTAAAATAACATAAATTACTTGGAATGTAGACTTATACCAAAATATGAGTAATATGTGTTTAGCATGAGTGATCCACAAAATAGTATATAAAAATGAATGATAAATACATTGAATAATCTTGAAAATATTTCGCAGTTTTACTCAAAGGTTTCAAGTATGTTTAATAAGAATATCATGAGACAGATGGACACTTGTTAAGCCGGTTCCAACGTGGAACTAAGCTCTTTAATTTACTAGTGCTGAAATTACATAAATACACAAACATGATTTTTTGTAGATATCTAAATATACCAAAGAATAATTAATATTTTATAAATAGATTCATATTTCTAATTTATACAAAAAAATGTGAAATCAGTTGGTTGTCATATTCAGTATAGCTACGATTAATAGACTTTAGTATATCTAGATATACTAGTAAATATCCGGTTAGTAGTACAATATTTTCAAGATCAGTGAAGAAAAATTGCAAACATTGAAAGTAAAAAAAGCTGAAAATTCATACCCTCACTGCAATTGGAGGATGTGATCAGTTTCTGCTCCCTTAATTGGGACGTACGAGTTGTGCGAGGCAAGCTAATAGACTTCTCAGTCAGTTGTTGCATGCTGCGACTGTCCGCCTTGTTCAACTCTCTTCGTGTTGGTGACGGTCCCGACTTACTTACAGCTAAGTGGCTCATGCTACGGGTGACAGAGGAGTGATAAGAAGAGGATAAAGGACGAAATGAGTTGGTTTCGGTCAAAGATTTTAGATCGTGCCTCTTGCGTGGTTTGGCAAGCTGGTCTAAGCGCGTCATTGAATAAGCCCTACCTGGTGATTGGTTTAGGGATTTACGGGAAGAACTGATAAAATCTTTTGCTGGAATGGTGGGAACTAAATCAGTGCGCCTTCGTCCTGTGTAACCGCTTACACAACCGGCTGGTATAACTGGTGCATTACCTGCAAAAAATACATAGCACGTGCATAAACAACAGTGAGTTTCAGATCAGACTAATATAGTTCAGATGGTTCATGGAATAATGTATAGTATGCAAAAGCTGTGTGTAGAACAAATACAAAAAGCGAATAAATAAGTAACGGAATACAATAAACAGTTCTTAATAGTTTTTAAGCAATATGCATGACCTACATTGGAGACCCTATTACGCGAAATTATGAAATTGTGATACAGTTTATTATGGAAAATATGAAACAGTCAAACATAGAGCAAAGACAACAAAAAATTGTAATTAGATTAGATATATCCAAGACAAATCATAAAATACTACTGTAGGTCTAAAAGTCCAAATATAATTACTTAGTTTATTTATAAGATCCTTACAGAGCAACTGTATATCCAGCAAAAACAGTAACTGCAATAGTGAACACGATAACAAGTTATAGATAGTTTCAAAACCATAGAAAAAAATCAGTTAAAGCAGTTTGACAATCATCTTACAGGAAATAGTAATAAGTTACTAACAGATTTATTTTCTAATTGAATTATAGTAGTGGGAAAGTTCTACAGGTTCACATTTACCTGCAGTCATTTATATAAATTATTGTTCTGAAGCTATGTTCTCGTGGCATTTTAAAGTAATTACTATTTAAATTGGAATAAGGTTAAAGTACGTTTATTGACGTTTCAATTTCCACTTCGGAAATCGTTCTCAAAATACTAACATAGGTAAATTAAACAAAATTTGTTTTTGTACTTAGTGAAAAGATCTTCTAATAATTTAATTTAATCTGACTCATTTATATTGACAATTCAAACATACATTATACATTTTAAAGTAGATGACTTTACAATGATATTGCCAATATTGTTGAGTTGCGCTCCTGGGACGACTTTATTTATAAGATAGTTCATTCGATTACATGAAATCAACTTGAGAATATCCGTCAGAAAAAAATCATAGCATGTAATTTGTTTTTAAAAAGACAAACACATGCCATGATGACAGTAAAATTTTCCTGTTACTGATTCCGTAGTAAATTATGAGGGAAAAAACCTTATAATAATATCTCGACATGGTAAGTATTTGATCGTTCATTTAGTTTATCTTCAATAAACACCAAATTCTGATTTTATATGTTTGTTATTTAAAAAACATAAAATATCAGTGGATAAAATATCTCAATGTTTACCAGCTCACCAAAGGGAAGAATACAGAGTATTATGTAAACTTGAATTGAAAAGTCTATTAAAATTGAACAAAACATATGCAAAAAGGAAATAAAGGCTATGAGAACTTTAAAAAATGACGACTACATAATCATCTTAACAGCAGAAAAGGGGAATGCGACTGTGATTATGGATAAAATTCAATATGAAAACAATATTAACGATTTAATAATAAACGGACGTTATACAAAATTAACAAAGCATCCAACAAAGACTTTGGAAAACAGAATATATAGAATTTTATTCAAGTTTAAAGATTGTTTAACAAGTTATCAGAGGAGATTAATTACACCTCCTTACAGTAAGATGAATCATTTTTAAGGAGGACCGAAAGTTCATAAAACGAATACACCCATTTGTAGTACAATGAATTCTCCTTGTAGTGAATCAAAATTTTTATTAAATATTTTAAAACCATTTGCAAATAAAAATGACACTATAGAAAATACACAACATTGTTTAAATAAACTATCAAATATTGAATTTAATTCAAATAATACTTTGGTAAGTTTTGACATAAATAGTTTATTTACGAATGTGCCATTAGCTAACACTTTAAATATGGTCAAGACAAAATTGGAGAGTGATGATACATTGGCAACTAGAACAAGACTAAAAATATCAGCTATAATGGAGTTATTAACATTATGTACTGATAATACATATTTTCAACTAAATAATGAGTTCTCTAAACAAAATTTTGGTCTAGCAATGGGCTCTAGTTTATCTCCATTATTAGCCGATATATTTATGGAAGATTTTGAAACAAATATTATTTCTAAACAAAATTTAAACCCACAATATGGTGGAGATGATGTATTCTCAATATGGCATCATGGGTCAGAGTTGTTGGACACGTTCCTAAATGATATAAACGATAAAGAAGATACAATAACATTTACCATGGAAAAGGAATATAATAACACACTACCTTTCCTGGATGTTTTAATCTCTAAGAACGATACTGGATAGATACAAGACTCAGGTGTATAGAAACCTAACACACACCAATAAATATTTAAATTTTAAAACAAATCACAATATTAATATTAAAAAGGAAATCATTAAATCCTTATAGGATAAAGCCAAAATTACTTGTTCTAACGAAAATTCGTTCTTGGAGGAAAAACATTTGTTAACATCTGTTTTATTAAAAAATGATTATCCTTTATCGTTTATAAAAAAGGAATTTTCAACAATCGATCGAATAGAACAGAACAACTTAGAACGAGATCCTACATACACAAGGAATAATACGAGGAAAATAACAATACCATACCATAAAAAGGATTATCAGAAAAACTTAAAAAGATAGGAAATAAATTCAACATTTCAACAACATTCAAAACAACAAACAGGTTGAGATCTATTTTGTCCAAAACCAAACCTAACAATGAACAGGAAAGGACAAAGAATTGCATTTATAAAATACCTTTTGTATGCGATCAGTTTTATTTAGGTGAAACATCAAGGTCATTAAATGTTAGAATAAGTGAACATCAATCTTATATTAGAAATAGAGAATATCTCAAATATGTAAACACGCATGGTATAATGAACATAGGATTAATCGGAATGATTAAAATATAGTCCTAAAAAAAACCGATGGTAAAAAGAGAAAAATTAAAGAAGCGGCTCTAATTATTCTAAATGAGACCAATTGTGTTGCAAATTCCTCGGCAGAATGTAGTCGGATCTGGTTACTCATATTGAAAGAGGAAGTTATTAAAAGGAAAATACCAGTATTAGAAAGTCAGTAACATATAGAGGATATATCATTTGTTTTTTAAATAACAAACATATAAAATCAGAATTTGGTGCTTATTGAAGGTAAACTAAATGCACGATCAAATACTTCCCATGTCGGGATATTATTATGAGTTTTTTTTCCTGGTTTTCCCTCATAATTACCTATGGAATCACTAACAGGAGAATTTTACGGTCATCATGGCATGTATTTGTCTTTTTAAAGACGAATTACATGCTATGATTTTTTCTGACGAATATTCTCAAGTTAAAGTTGATTTCATGTAATCTAATGAACTATCTTATAAATAAAGTCGCCCCAGGAGCGCAACTCAACAATATTGGCAATGTCATTTTAAAGTTGTCTACTTTAAAATGTATAATGTATGCCTGAATTGTCAATATAAATGAGTCAGATAAAATTAAATTATTAGAAGCATTTTTCACTAAGTAACAAAAAAAAAACAAAATTTGTTTAATTTACTAATGTTTGTATTTTGAGAACGATTTCCGAAGTGGAAATTGAAACGTCAATAAACGTACTTTAACTTTTAATTGTGAGTATTCCCATTTAAATAGTAATTACTTTACATACATTATATTAACCATAAAATTATTTGAAAATAGGAGATCCCACCACGAAAATATTAGACGAGTAGGTGAAAATACAGAAATATAACAAAAACAGTTTGACTTTATGCTATGTAGATCAATGAAAAATAGACCTGTTCCAAGCAAGACCATAAAAATATTAGCCTAGGCTTAGAGATTCATTTAATCAGACGAATCACTAAAACTGTTACCGTTTTAAGAAAACTAGAATATTTTTTGCTGAGGTGAGGTGTCCACTTTAAAAATCTTTGCGTTTTGTGAATGATGTTTTAAATGCATCAGTTTTACTTTATTTTCCACTATTTTTTTCTATATAATCATTTGTGTATTATACATTAGTTACACACCACGTATTTTTCGGCCTTCTTGAAATTGCATCAACAAATTCTCATAATAATTTATACTTTTATGTAATTTGAGCGTGCCCTAACCACAGAAATTCATTAATGAAGATTAGGCCAGCAATCTTATACAAGTTTTTGAAGGTTCTAAATGAAGATCTTGACGGGGGATATCTGATGACAAATCTTGCCGTTCTTTTTTAAGTCATAAAAAGTGAAATAATTTTTTGTCTATAAAACTTTTCTTATACATTTCAGAGAAAAATTATTCAAATAAAAGTTGTAGATCTTAAAAAGTTCTTTAATTTTGCCCGATTCTAAATTAAAACAAATAAACATTTGACCGAGATTAATGGAAAAAAACACTTAATTTGGTAGTAATTTATAAATTTTAATAACTTTGTTTTTCGAATACTGAAATGTAATCTAACTACCGTAGAATGGGGTGACTTTGATTCTATGAGGTAACTTTGATAGAACATGAATATTTTGTTTCACGAGAGTATGCAACCCAAATGTTTCATCCATTATGGTGGTTGTCTGAACTTAATTTCAGTGCACATGCTGATTAACTATAGTGGAAGGTGTTTGTGGTGAATATTAAAAGTACACTTTTATAAATGCACTGTTAAAGTTTTTGTTTTAATTTGAAGGTTTTAGATTGTGTAACTAAATTTAAACATACAGCTCTCAGCATACAATTTCAGGTAATTTTGTGTATGTTGCCTTAATTGATTACCAACATTTTAAAATATTTAACCTTAAAGTTATTTCCGTGAATACTTCGTGAAATTACATGATTTCTTCTCCGGGGTCACTTTGATACATTTTTCGGGATGACTTTGATATTTTATTTCTTTTTATAGTTTTCATAATGAAACTTCAAACCGTTAATTAATTTCAGGTTTTCATCATTATCTATATAAAAAGCCAAAATGCCGCGAGTTTATAAACGAAAGTTGGGATCAAGAAGCTACAAGAACTTCTCTGACGAAACTCTTGAACGTGCTCTGCTTCAAATAGTAAACGGAAGCTTGTCTGTTAAAGCCGTTTCAGAAAGATTCAAAATTCCGTATGGTACTTTATATAATAAATACAAAGGGAAGCATGGGAAGAAACGAGGGGGCCAAACTGCGTTGTCGGCGTTGGAGGAAAAATTAATCGTGTCCTGCATTGTCAAATGTGCCGATTATGGATTTTCATTATCGACGTTAGATGTACAACTTTTCACTAAGAGTTATTTAGAAGGAACTGGAAGAATTATTTATACATTTAAAAACGGGTAAGTCCTGGTAACGACTGGGTAACCCATTTTTTAGAGAGTCAGCAAATTTCTGAACGACTTGCGTCTAACATTAACTGATAACAACTAATGTGAATAAATATGCCTTTTAATGGAATCATCATTGATGACATGTAACGATGACAACTTCTCTGGCACGACTATATGTCACGACCAAATGAACATTGAAAAGGACACAAAAGACAAGTAACTCCGTAGATGAGGAATAAACAATTTTTCACATGTAGTATACAGGGTGAGTCATGAGGAATTTTACATACTTCTACCATATGTAGAGTCCCTCAGGGAGCATATCATGTGGCCACTAAAAAATGTCAACTCCTCTTCTTTATTAATTAACAGGGTGATTTGTGTAATTGACCATTTATTTCATTTTACTGTAGAGTTTATACGGCTCATTTGATTTTTTTAATTTTTGCATGATACAGTACACTACTATCAAGCATTCGACTGGTATTAGCTAAACTAAAAAATTCCAGGACTGGCTTTGGAAAAATTAATTTAGGGATTCGTATTAAATATTACACCCTGTATATATATATTTTTAAATGCAATAAGTGATTTTCAACCTACATAAATAGCCAATGAAAACGACATATGCGACAATGTTGTCGCACTTTTATTAAATTTTTAGTGAACGATCAAATCTTACCAAAAATAGAACAACCATAATGAAGTATCAAATTATAAAGTAATTACTTTAAACAAATGTTATAAATTTCAAACATTTTAATTGAAATGATAAACTGAGTCACTGCACAACAAAAAACAGTAACTACTAACAATAACGAAGAACAATTAAAAAAAAAAAACTAAAAATATATACATAGTTATGATAAACCCATAAATTAGAACTGGAAAAGATACAATAATGGTAACAAAATAAAAATAATTCAAAATAGATTTTCGAAATGGAACCCTGCAGGCTGTACACATTTTTGTTGCCGAATTGTTAATTGACGTATTGAATTACGGATACTCTGGGGATCGTTTTCTAATAGTATTACAACAATGTATAATTCTATCAATTAATTGTTGTCGGTTATTAATATTCACTGCGTAAACTAGTTGCTTCAATCGTCCCCAAATATGGTAATCAACGGGATTGAAATCAGGAGATCTTGAAGGCCACGAAATAGGGCCTGCACGTCCTATCCACCTGTTGCCATAAACATTATTAAGATGTTGTCTCACTGCCAGTAAAAAGTGTGGGGGTGCCCCATCATGCTGAAAATACATCCCTCGGATAGCAACGTTCGCGTTGGCAAGCAAATTCGGCAAAATACTTTGTAGAAAGTTCAAATAGACCTGCCCTGTTAAAGGACCATCAAAAAAGTGAGGACCTACTAATTGGTTATTTATGACACCAATCCACACGTTAACCGAAAACCTTAACTGAGAACGACGTTCTCGAATAGCATGGGGATTTTCTTCTGCCCACACATGTGAATTTCGTGAATTATTTATCCAGTCTCTGGTAAATTGGGCTTCATCTGTAAATAGTGTCCTGTATAGCGTTGGTCGATTACTGTTAATCCATCTACAAAATTCCAACCTATCGATCTCATCTCCAGCATGTAGTCGCTGAACAATTTGAATGTGATATGGGTATAGATTATTTTTTTGTAAGACTCTACTTACTTTTGATTGAGTAACATTGAGTTCTCGACTTACTTGTCTAGTGCTTATTGTAGGGTTCATAGTAACGGCGTCCATAATGTCATCTTCCTGCGCTTCATCTACATGTCGCTCTGTTGTTCCACTAGGAAAAGTGCCATTTTCTCGCAAATAATTAAAAACTGACCCAAATGTTGGATGACTGGGAGTTCGACGATTAGGAAATCTCCTGAAATATTCTCTACTAGCAGCCCTACCATTCCCATTACAGAATCCATAAACAAATATTATGTCTGCATATTCTGTGGTCGAAAACTGATGTGGCATTTTGAACGAAAGTAACAAAAGCTCTACCAAAACTAACACAATGTACTTAACGTAGATATGACAATATTGACAATGGGTATAAAATATCAAGAAACGTCAAACGGTCAACGCCAACCTTCATTGTAAACTTTTTTAGATTTATTTTTATTTAGTACAGTTGATGCAATGTATTATTATTTGACATAAAATTTTAATCATTTACAATCAACAAAACTAACACATACAAGAAGTTTGACTTTTTAATCAATTTAATTTATTATTTATCGAAAATAATGCCCCAATACGATCTATGAGTAAAAATTTAAAATTGAAAAACAATTGATTCTATCGTAGAGATAATACAAAGTGACAGTAAAGATGTTAATTTTCTACGTATTAGATTATGTTGTAGGAACTCATTTTAATTAAAATGTTTGAAATTTATAATATTTGTTTCAATTAATACCTTATAATTTGATACTTCATTATGGTTGTTCTATTTTTGGTAAGATTTGATCGTTCACTAAAAATTTAATAAAAGTGCGACAACATTGTCGCATATGTCGTTTTTATTGGCTATTTATGTAGTTTGAAAATCATTTATTGCATTTAAAAAAATATATATACAGGGTGTAATATTTAATACGAATCCCTAAATTAATTTTTCCATAGCCAGTCCTGGAATTTTTTAGTTTAGCTAATACCAGTCGAATGCTTGATAGTAGTGTACTGTATCATGCAAAAATTAAAAAAATCAAATGAGCCGTATAAACACTACAGTAAAATGAAATAAATGGTCAATTACACAAATCACCCTGTTAATTAATAAAGAAGAGGAGTTGACATTTTTTAGTGGCCACATGATATGCTCCCTGAAGGACTCTACATATGGTAGAAGTATGTAAAGTTCCTCATGACTCACCCTGTATAATAACTTTTATATTTTTTAGTAGATTATCACATCACACAAAAAATATTAACTCACGTACTCGTCATGTATGTAATGAAATTTTGATAAGCGGCTGAACGTGATATTATAGTACATTTTATGGATTTATTATTGAATAGTTTAAAAATGTATAGATTTTATAAACATTTAATAAATGATGTTAAAGGAGGAATGGATAAAAGCCATCTCGGTCGATCATAACTTCGATATGACTCTTCATTAACGTACATAGTGCGATGAACAAAGAAAGAGACTTACCTACAGATCTTGACATTGAGGCGTATTTATCCAGATTCCTAGTTCTTGTTCCTTTGCTTTCTATTAAAGAAAAAAATAGTAATTTTTAGTTCTGACGAAAGTAAGTGAACAAATCACCATTCCATCAAGGGGATGATTTTGGGAACCGAAAAGTATTGCTAATTATTTTTTTATAGCATCACTACACAAAAGCTCGGTAGCAAAAAACAAATACACGGAATGATTTTGTTTTGTTATCATGAAAATATGAATAGATGTGACACGTTCCCTAAAATGACTGTTTTCCACAAGCGTTCATTTTCCATTACATCTGTAATCTTTATTATATTGGTATAACTCAATGGATGATGGACTAGGTCCAAATTCCAATAGTACTTTAGTATTAATGAATAAAGAAATTTACTTACTTTCACCGGTTCTCTCTAAGCCAGTTGCAGAGGTAGCACGTTTTTTGGTACCAGCATCTAATTCTCGTTCAGATTGTCGTCGAGTAAGCATTGACGGGTTTGTAGAAGTTACTATATTCTGGATGGAAGTGGCCCTTCGCGTATTCCAATATGAAGCGGTAACATCATTTGGATCCAGCATTCGAGGGGTAGAAGAACCGAAGGCGAATACTGCATTACTTCTTTCATTGCGTCTCCTGGACTCGAATCTATGTTCTCGTTCTTGGTTTCGTCTAAGTATAAATTCTAATCTATCTCTTTCTGCTTCTTGTATTTGCTTTTTACGCTCTTCGACTTGTAGACGTCTTTCGTCATCCCTGCATTTTAAATCATCTAATCTTTTGCGTCGTTCTTGTTCTTTTTGTTCTTTGAAAACTTGTGCAGCAAGAGCTTGTGCCTTGATTTCTTCCAGTTTCCTCTGCCTCTCATCATTCTGCCGATCTTTTAAGGTACGCAATCTCAATTCTTTGTCAACTGTAAAAAAATATGAAATTTAATTGATTCCATAATCTAAGTTATGTTCAATGTTAAAACAAATTACATCTATCTATATAAAAGGTATTTCTGAACTATCTGACATTTCAATCATATTTTGTTCTTAAAACGATACTGTTGATATACTGCTAATACATTCTACAAATTAATGATTCAAATATCCTTACTAGGAAATTTTACTATTTATCAGTAATTAATTTGTTCACAAAAGTGCTAAAAATATAGGTTACTGTAATTGTAAGGTAAGATTTACATATATACACTTACTCGAAAAATAAAATTACGTTAATAAAACATCAACGTTTTATCAAAATAAAATAAAATAAAATAACAGTATTAAATAAAATTAAGTAAAAGTCATCAACTAAAATAAAACTCAAATAAAAAACATCGTCGGTGATATGAGCAAAAGAAAATTGGAAAACAGGTAGTCCGAAAACCCACCATAGGTATATCCATATATGATGAAGAGAGTAATGATAATGGAGTAAGAATCGAAGAATCGTAGGAACCGTATAGTCTATATGAAGAGAGGAATGATAATGGAGTAAGAATAATAAAATATTGTAACCGCTTTACAGTTGTAGAGTAATTATACAGTGTGGAAACCACTTATGGAATAAAATTGTTTGTGTCCTTATTATAGAAAATAATCAAAAATCTGGAACACGTTAACTTTTAAATTTAAATGTGCGCTTTTTAAACATAAGTTTAAATGTACAGGGTGATCCACGCAAGTCTGGCATAGTCCATAATCCTTATTTTTAATGAAACACCCTGTATATTTTTATGTTTTTTAAAACACTTTTAACAACCTAATTTCAATGAACTATATCATGTAGCGTCTATAATGAATAATACAAGGTGAAATTTTGAAATTAATAATTTATCACGTGTCATGGTATTATTTTAAATTAGCTAAATACAGACAATAGACTTCTACTCGTAAGTGCCAGTACACTGTATATTGGGAAAAATTTCTGTTTAGTAACCGTGTTAACACTTTTTGTCGTGAATAGGTAAAAACTGTATAGATAGTCTGCCAATTAAACTAAATCGGTAAATAATGCGGATTGTTATCAATCAGTTGACATGTTGTTGACATTTTACATTAAAATAATAAATTCTTAATTAAAAACTAATTTCTTGCAGAAATAAAAATGAAATATTTAACTAAGGCCCACCGAATTGAGATTTTAATGATGATCGGTTACGGGGAGAATTGTAGAAGTCAAGTTGAAGTAGCAAACTTATTTAATCAGAGGTATCCTCAGCTACCTAATATTTAACAAGGTACTGTGTCTAAAATTTACGCACAATTCAGAGAACTTGGACATATCAAAACATTAAAAAGAAAATCGAACTTCATTGAAGATGAAGTGAAAGTGGATATTTTGTTAAGTGTCGCAGAGAATCCAACGTCAAGTTCACGTCAAAATAATGTGAGTCACACAACTGTCCTAAGGTGTCTCCATGAAGAAAACTTCATCCATATAAATTGACATTTGTGCAGGAGCTAACAGAAGACGATCCGGATCGTAGAATTGGTTTCTGCAAAAGAATGATGGATAAAATTAACAAATGAAATAGCTCTTGCCACAATTATTTTTTCTGATAAATCAACATTTACATTGAACGGAGAGGTAAACTAACAAAACTGTAGATATTGGTCAGCGGAGAATCCTCATTGGATGCGTGAGACACACACTCAGTATCCTCAAGGGGGACAAGGAAGGAGCCTCCACGAGATCAATAGTGCCACATCAAGTGCAAAAGAAACACTATTGACGGCGTCCCCTGGAAACGTCTACTAGTAGACGGCTAATCCTTCCAACTCCGGACCATACCAAATCCGATGGCAAAGATCAAGCCACAACGGTTCTTCTCAGAGCCAACACTGACAGTAGCGAGCATAAATATCGAGGGCATCACTACAGCCAAACAAGACATCTTATCAGAATTCTGCATGAACACGAAATGTGAGGTATTGTGCATCCAGGAAACCCACAGAGACCTAACTGCAGCGAGACCGAAAGTCTCTGGTATGAAACTGATTGCGGAGATACCACACAATAAGCATGGGAGCGCGGTATTTGTGAGAACTCAAACCATAGTCTCATCTGTGGAAACAACAAATGTACACGGTATAGAGATAATAACCACTGAGATCGGAAAATGCACAATAACCTCGGTATACAAACCCCCAAACCAGCCTTTTATATTTTCACCCCAACTAATTTTCAATCACAAGCCAATCAGCTTGTACTGGGAGACTTTAACAGTCACAGTTTACTCTGGGGCTATGCATATTCGGACGCAAATGGAGACGCAGTAGAAGCATGGGCCGAAACGAGTGGCCTCACGTTAATCCATGATCCTAAACTTCCACCATCTTTTCATAGCAAAGTTTGGAAAAGAGGATATAACCCGGATATCTGTTTTTCAAGCAATAACCTCGAAGACCGATGTACCAAAGTAGTATATGGCCCCATACCAAAAACTCAGCATAGACCAATTGGTATAAATATCTTTCCAATTGTCAGACCACAAGCTATTCCATTCAGAAGGAGATTTAACTTTAAAAAGGCAAACTGGCAAAAGTATGCAGACATGCTAGATTTTGAACTACTACGCCTTGAACCAAAAGTAGAGAACTACGAAAAATTCGTAGAGGTACTCAAAAATGTGTCTAGAAAAACTATCCCTAGAGGATGTAGACAACAATACGTTCCCGGGATGTCCAGCGAGTCCAAAGAACTAATGAGAACATACGAAACCCTCTATTCCACTGACCCTTTTAGCCAAGAAACGGTTGACTGCGGAGCAGTACTACTCCAACAGCTAAGTCAAGCCAGACAGGAAAAGTGGATTGAGACCCTGGAAAAAATGGACATGACACATAGTAGCAAAATAGCATGGAACCTTGTAAAAAAACTCAGCGGTGATCCAAAAGAACATAAACCACCTTGCAAGGTTACAGCAAACCAAGTCGCTACTCAACTCCTTACGAATGGAAGAATTACTAACCGATATAAGGACCCAAACACTAGGAGAAGATTGGATTCGGAGACAAACCACCTAGGAACTCCTTTTACACTCAAAGAACTCCACGACGGTCTGAACAGGTTAAAAAACGGGAAAGCTGCAGGTGTGGATGATATATGCAGTGAACAAATAAAGCATTTAGGCCAAGGAGCAAAAAACTGGATCTAACAATTTTATAACACGTGCTGCAAAACCTGCAAAATTCCAAAATCATGGAGGAAATCTAAAGTAATAGCCTTGTTAAAACCAGGAAAGGATCCAGAAGACCCCAGTAGCTACAGACCTATTTTGCTATTGTGTCACTTTTTTAAACTATACGAGAGACTCATACTCGCCAGAATAGAAAAAAATGTCGACAAGCACCTCATCCCACAACAAGGAGGATTCAGACTTGGCAAATCTTGCACCGGTCAAGTCCTCGCATTAACAGCATACATTGAAGAGGGCTTTGAAGAAAAACTTATAACAGGGGCTGCTTTTGTAGATCTGACAGCAGCCTATGACACAGTAAGGCACAAAACATTGCTCCGCAAATTATACGATACTCTCAATGACCATCATCTGGGAAAGGTCGTATATTCCTTACTGCAAAATAGACGTTTTTTCGTTATGCTGGAGGGTAAAGTAAGTAGGTGGAGAGTTCAAAAAAACGGCCTCCCACAGGGAAGTGTTTTAGCACCAATGCTCTTCAATATATACACAAACGACCAACCTACTCCGACCGAAACCAAGCACTTCCTCTATGCTGACGATCTTGCAATATGTGCTTAAGGAAATAGTTTTGAAGAAGTGGAGGAGAAACTCGAAACTGCCTTAAAAACAATGACAGCGTACTACCTGCAGAATTCTCTGAGACCCAATCCCTCTAAAACCCAAGTCTGCGCTTTCCACCTTCGCACAAAGGAAGCCAAGCGAAAACTCCAAATTGTGTGGAATGGTAATACATTAGAACACACAAACCAACCTATATATCTTGGAGTAACTCTGGACCGGTCCCTCACCTACAGACAACATTGCATAAAAACAAGAGGGAAAGTAACAACTAGGAACAGCATACTCAGAAAGCTAACGGGAAGTAAATGGGGCGCACTTCCTGGCGTTTTAAGAACAACGGCACAGGCACTGTGTTTCTCAACTGCCGAATATGCATGCCCCGTTTAGAGCAGATCTGCCCACACCAAACAAGTTGATACTGCGCTAAATGAGACATGCAGGATAGTAACGGGGTGCATGAAACCAACGCCACTTTCAAATCTATATAGAGCAGCGGGTTTTGCAGAACCCTCAACACGCAGAGGCGCTGCAGAACACATAGAGAAAATTAAACAGATCGCGGACGATCGGCATGCCCTATACAAAGCTCGAACACCACGAAAGCGACTAAAATCTAGGAAAAGCTTCCTTGGAACAGTGAAGGATGAACCGCCTGAGTATTTTCCACTTCCCCAGGTTCAATGGACCGGCCAGATGCTAGACTTTAAAACGTGGAAAACCTTGAATAGGATAAGAACGGGGGTTGCTACAGTAAAATCAAACAGGGCAAAATGGGGAAAAAAAACCAAGATGATGTGAACTGTGACTGTGGAGAAACACAGAATATGGAACATCTTCTTAAATGCAGAAACTGTCCTCATCGATGTACCCTTGAAGATTTGTGGCTCGCCAACAAAGATGGAACCGACGTAGCCCGATACTGGGCCGAAATTTTATGAATGACATGTCCGGACACGATAAAGTAAAGTAAGTATCCTCAAAAGTTGAATGTTTGGACAGGTATTATAGAAGATCATATTATTGGTCGTATATTTATAGATGATAATTTGACAGCGGAAAAATATTTAAGCATGCTAAGAGACGATGTTCTTCCTTAGTTGGCTAACTTATAACCCAATCCAATAGATCCGACCCTACCGCATGAAACTGTCTGGTTCCAG